AGCCACAGCCGCCCCACATAAATAGAGTGGTCCATAAGATAAAATGTCCTCTTACTGGGGGACTGTATAACCAGCCTGAGGATGTTGCAAAAGCTTTATTAAGATTTATATAAGGTGTCATGATCAACGGCCCCTGCTGGCCCCTCATCTGCTCACATCTCTGCCCCTTCATGACATGTTCACGTCCCCTGTTCCCTGGTTCACTCTCAGTCCCTCCTGTCATTGTTTCTCTTCCACTGCTTTGTGTTGCCTTATGTTGCCTATCACCCATCTCCAGCTCAATCCTGCTTCTTCCAAGCCATGCCATGCCTTTCTTGTTTCTGATTCCACTCACCACCTGTTCAGCTCACTATTTAAGCTTCTGTCTCTCACTCACTTGTTGCCGAATTATTTCACCTCTCACGGTCCTTGATAGTAAAGCCTTTCATTGAATCTTGTTCCATAGCCTTGTACCCTCGCCTGTTTTTTGACTTCTCGCCTTGCCTTGCCCTCTGGATTTTTCTCCATATCTAACCACGGTAACAACCCTTGCTCTCCCTTGACTACTCTTTGGATTATGTTTTGGCTCTGGCTTCTCTTCTCCGCTCGCCCGTGCTTGAAACCTGATATGTCTATTGGACCACAAATCTGGATTATGCACAGACTGATATATTTCAACTGTTTATTTCTTTTAATGTTTGTGATTATAACTGACAACTTATGAAAACCCCAAATTCAGTATCAGAAAATTAGAATTATGTTGAAAAGTTTCAGTATTAAAGACACCTGGTGCCACACTCTAATCAGCTAATTAACTTAAAACACCTGCAAAGGCCTTTAAATGGTCTCTCAGTCTAGTTCTGTAGCTACACAATCATGGGGAAGATTGCTGACTTGACAGTTGTCCAAAAGATGACCATTGACACCTTACACAAGGAGGACAAGAAACAAAAGGTCATTGCTAAAAAGGCTGGCTGTTCACAGAGCTCTGTGTCCAAGCACATTAATAAAGAGGCGAAGGGAAGGAAACAATGTGGTAGAAAAAAGTGTACAATCAATAGGGATAACTGCACCCTGAAGAGGGTGGTGAAACAAAACCCATTCCAAAATGTGGAGGAGATTCACAAAGAGTGGACTGCAGCTGAAGTCAGTGCTTCAAGAACCACCATGCACAGACATATGCAAGACATGAGTTTCAGCTGTCGCATTCATTGTGTCAAGCCACTCTTGAACAAGAGACAGTGTCAGAAGCATCTTGCCTGGGCTAAAGATAGAAAGGACTGGACTGTTGCTGAGTGGCCCAAAGTTATGTTCTCTGAATGGCAATGAAAGTTTGTGGTCCAAAGGGCAATCCAAAAGGGTGATCCATGAGTCGAGGTTATAGACTGAAGAGGAGGTTGTTACCATGGTCAGAGAGGCAGAAAAGAATCAGATGAGGGGCAGGCAAAAAACGGGAAATCCAAAAGGCAGGCGTGAGGTCAATGATCCAGAGAACAAGACTTGAGGTTCAGGCATGAAACATGAAGGCTTCAAAAACAGGGACCATGGAAGGTGTAATAATCTCACCCTGGTGGAGAGGGAGAATGGATCTTATGAAGGGTGCAGAGCAGGTGAACCAGATGAGCTGAACAGGTGAGTGGAATCAGGGCTGATTGCTGTGATAAGCTGATGGGGTGTGGTGAAGTGAGCAGGCAGAGGTGCAGGTTGACAGGAGATGAGAATAAACAAGAACAGAAACTATGACCAGAATGGCAGAAAACATAGCATGTCATGAAGGGGCAGGGAAGTGAGGAGATGGGGGCCAGCGGGGGCCGCTGATCATGACATAAATGATGTG